CTACCCGTACCCTGGGTACGGGTAGGGTACGGGTACCCATTTGCGACCCTGGTGCAGCCGGGTACGGGTAAGGAATCAAAACCCGTTTGCGACCTCTGCCACTGGGTCCTGGGTGGGCCCATCTCAGTGGAGGAGGCCCGTGAAGGACGCTACGTGTTGGGGGGGGGAGAGGAGAGGGGGGTGAGTTGGAGGCAGTCGTCCTCCATCAGCAACGGAGGGCGGAGGAGCGACGCTCACAACAGCGAGCGGAACGCCGGGTGGTTTGAAATGCAGCGAGTTGGCACGGTATGGGGCCGTCCATAAATGACGTCACGCACCTGGGGAAGGGGGGGGGTCAGACATTTGTGACGATGTGTGATGAGAGGGGGGGGGGTGAGAAATGTGGCGTCACATCAAAATGCGCAACTTTAAATAAATATAGACAACACGTTCTACTTAATTAAATCGATATTTTAATAAATGTTTTCTCCTACAACATCAGAGTGCAGCGCCACATTAAATACGCACTACAATGACAATAGTGCATACATTATCAAGGACAGTGCATACATTATTAGAGTTGTGTTTTTTGTTTGCATTCCGACCGCAGGTATTGTGATCAATGCAAACATGACTCCTTGTAAAAAAAAGGTGTCAGTTTTGTTGCCAGATAAAAGGGTAAAAAAACAATTATCATATTTTGCTACTGGCAAAGGAGGTTCCAATGGTAGAATGACAATAGTTTAAAGCGATTTGAAGCATGTTTTTGGGGGGGGGCAGAGCTTTGTGACGTCATATTTGAGGGGGAGGGGGGCTGACTTTTTGTGACGCCGTGTGACGAAGGGGGGGGGGGGTCAAAAATCGTCCAAAATCGCGTGACGTCATTTATGGACGGCCCCTATGGGGCACAGGTGTTGATATCTGCCAAGTCGTCTCAGGTCAGTCAACCCACGGGGCACCTGGGTCTGTCCCGTGACCTCCTGTCAGCAACGAGCTTTCGACACTTCACGTGGCCTCAAGGTGCACCTAGCCTGGCACAGGCGCCGTGGGGACGTCACCGCCACTCTGTGGTGGAATGGTGGTCGTTGTTGTTGTGTTTGTCAGCCACTAGAGGCCGCTGTTCAACCACAAGGCGCTTCCTCCTTCCATGAGGGGGAGATAAGCCAGCCAGAGAAACCGCGTGGACTCACTCACACAGAGACTCATAGACTCACACAGAGACTCATAGACTCACACTGAGACTCATAGACTCACACAGAGACTCATAGACTCACACTGAGACTCATAGACTCACACTGAGACTCATAGACTCACACTGAGACTCATAGACTCACATAGATACACAGCCACTCACATAGAGACCCATAGACCTTACATAGTGATCCACAGACTCACAGAGAGACCCATAGACTCACATAGAGACCCATAGACTCACACAGAGACCCACAGACTCACATAGAGACACATAGACTCACATAGAGACCCATAGACTCACACAGAGACCCATAGACTCACATAGAGACACATAGACTCACACAGATCCCCAGAGACTCACATAGAGACCCATATAGACCTTACATAGAAATCAACAGACTCACATATAGACCCAAAGACTCACACAGAGCACAAAGACCCATATACTCACACAGAGACCCACATACTCCCATAGAGACCCATAGACACATATAGAGACCAATATACTCACATAGAGACCCATAGACTCACGTAAAACCCATAGAATCACAGAGACCCATAGACTCATAAAGAGACCCATAGACACACATAGATACCCGTAGACTCACCTATAGAGACTCATAGACTCATACAGAGACCCGTAGACTCACAGAGACCCATCAACTCACACCTCTTTGCAATGTTGCGTTAATCTCTCATTAAATGACTATAAAATGTGCAACGTAATTAAAAGCATTTTCATGAAAACAAATCGATTTAAACCGCGTCTTAAATAAGCGTGTGTTGTCTGTGTGTTGTTCTTTGACACTGTTGTTGAAAACACATTTCCAAAGCTGTCAACCCATACGGTTTACCCCGTATTCTTGTGCAGGAAAATTGAGTTTTCATGTCCTTACGGCGTACAGACGTTTCGATGCGGGGCAACACATTTATTGTCTGTTTGTTTGTGTTTCTCGCTTGAGATGATGGGGCTTTGTAGGATAAACATTGAGCTTTGTTCATAAATGACGTCACGCGATTTTGGACGATTTTTGCCCCCCCCCCCTTCGTCATACGACGTCACAAAAAGTCAGACCCCCCTAAAAATGACGTCACAAAGCTCTGCCCCCCCCAAAATAAAACATGCTTCAAATCGCTTTAAACTATTGATATTGTAGTGCGTATTTAATGTGGCCCTGCACTCTGATGTTGTAGGAGAAAACATTTATTAAAAAGTTTCTTTAATTAAGTAGAACGTGTTAAAGCTTTCGTGACTGCAGTGATTCATCTTCTTGGTTCTTTCGGTAAAGTCACGTAGAAGGGAAATCATAAAATAATAAAAATAAAACATCATAAAATAATTCTCACGACGTTTCGGCCACAACGCAAGCAGCCGTCCTCAGGTGAAGAACAGGTCTGTCGGGAAGACAGAGTCTGAATGACACACCCCAGGCTTGGAGCGTCTATTTAAGCTGGGTTAGAGAAGGGAAGGGCGCCTTGACAAAGGAATTTGCATATCAAGAGGAATTTAGCATATTTATAGGAAATGCAGATATGGGATTAGTCACTACTTGTGGAATGCGTAAGAGGTGGGGGGGTTCAAAGTCATATTATGCCCGTGCATTATGCATTATGTAGGATTAGCAGCATCAAAGGCAGGAAGTAGGGTTAGCAGTAATAGAGGGAAGGAATTTTAATAGTAAGGAGCTGCAGCAGCTAAACCACCACGTAAAAAAACTAAAATATAAACCACATCAGTATCATCAATATACTAAATATCAGAGGTGGGACAAAGTCATTGTTATGCAAGTCCAAGTCGAGTCTGAAGTCATCAAATTCATGACTCGAGTCTGACTCGAGTCCAAGTCACATGACTCGAGTCCACACCTCTGCTAAATATACTCTCCAATAAGCTGAGCTACTAACAGTAAGTCATACATTACAATTCTATGTCGCAAAAAATATCAAATATGCCTCCAGCTAAACTTTTTCCTCTTACATCACACGAGTCTACCCCGTACTATATACTGCGGACGGCTGCTTGCGTTGTGGCCGAAACGTCGTGAGAATTATTTTATGTTTTATTTTTATTATTTAATTATTTCCCTTCTACGTGACTTTACCGAAAGAACCAAGAAGATAAGTAGAACGTTTCGTCTATATTTATTTAAAGGTGCGCATTTTACGTGACGTCACATTTCTCAACCCCCCCCCCCTCATCACACATCGTCACAAATGTCTGACCCCACCCCTAGGTGAGTGACGTCATTTATGGACGGCCCCAAGGGGCACGGGCTGACCAACAAGGTCTGACTTTCTCCGCAGCAAAGGCACCGCTGAAGGTGTTGTCAAAGGGGGGCCTAACTCGTAACAGTAGGGGGGGGGGGGGCAAGGCACCCCTCCCTCGTTACCCCACTGAGCCGTGCCACGTGCTGCGTGTTTGGGGGGGGGTGGTGGTGGTGGTGGCGTTGGGGGTTCAACTCCGGGCGAGGGTTTGGAATGTGCGCCCATGTTCGTGGCGCTGCGATGAGTGGTGGTGGTGGGGTTAGCGATGGTGTCACGGTGGGGTGGGTGGGGGTTGTCTCATGGTGACTGATGGCCTCCGATGGTTGCTGATGAACTCGATATGGGCGTGCGAGTGCGAGCGGTGGCGCAACGGTTAGCACCTATGAAGGCCGGCACGGCACACGAGGTGATGGGTGGCCAACACCACGCCCGGCCGCCTTTGTCTCCCTGAGTGGCGATGTTTTTACACACCGCACCCCAGGTACTCATTTGAGGCTGAGTCCACCCAGGGGAGGCCCCTCACCGCTTTGTAGGTCACCCAGAACGGACCGTAACGACGCGATGGCCCCATCCACAAATACGAAGATGGAGACGTCATCACGGCGATGACGATGTGGTGGGGGGCGGGTGGTGGGGGGCTGGGGGGGGCAGGGTGGTAGGGGGTGGGGGGGGGTGGGAGCGGGGGGGGGCGTGGTGGTGGGGGGCGGGGGGTGGTGGACGGGGGGCGGATGGTGGGGGGTGAGCGGGGTGGGGCGGAACGGGGGGGGGGGCGGGGTAGTGGGGGGCGGGGGGTCTAAGTGGTGGGTGGTGGGGGGGGGGGCGGGGTGGTGTTGGACGGGGGGGCGGGGTAGTGGGGGGCGGGGTGGTGGGGGACGGGGGGGCGGGGTGGTGGGGGCCGGGGGGGGGGGGTCGAAGTGGTGGGTGGGAGGGGGCGAGGTGGTTTTGGACGGGGGGGCCGGGTGGTGGGGGACGGTGGGGGCGGGGTGGTGGGGGGGGGCACGTGGGGGGGGGGGGGGGCACGTGGTGGGGGGGGGGGGCACGTGGGGGGGGGCACGTGGGGGGTAATCACGACGCGAGTTCAATTCGTGATTCTAATCTCCGGCACAGCAGAGCCGACTCAGCTGTGCGCGCGCGTTCGTTTGTTTGGCGTTCCACGACGGGCACGCGGAATGCGCGCGCCCGTGCCGCTATTGTCTCACTGTCGCCTCTGCTGATGCTGCTGATGATGATGCTGATGGTGGTGGTCGTGCTCCCGGTAATGAGGGTGCATTATTATTCAGGATAAACATCAACATCGCCATCAGTGAGTGCGAATTGTTACAGGGATTGTTATTGCAATCTGACATTAATATAAGCATCATCATCACCTTTTTATTCTTTACCATTGTCCATCATCATCAACATCAACACGGCCATACGTATTCATCATAGTAAAGTATTACTATTATCATTACCATTCATTCATCATCATCATCGCAATCATCACCAATAAACTCAACTGCCCGATGATGTTGGTTGTAACTACCCGCGAAACGTCGAACTACCCATCCAGCATCAACAACAACACCAAAAACAACAACACCAACAACAACACCAACAACATCACCAACAACAACAACAACACCAACAACAACATCACCAACAACACCAACAACAACAACACCAACAACAACAACACCAACAACATCAACAACAACAACAACACCAACAACATCACCACCAACAACAACACCAACAACATCACCAACAACAACACCAACATCAACACCAACAACACCAACAACAACAACACCAACAACAACACCAACAACAACAACACCAACAACATCACCAACAACAACACCAACAACAACAACACCAACATCAACACCAACAACAACAACACCAACAACACCAACATCAACAACACCAACAACACCAACAACATTAACACCAACAACACCAACACCAACAACATCAACAACAACAACAACACCAACAACAACAACACCAACAACATCACCAACAACACCAACACCAACAACATCACCAACAACAACAACACCAACAACACCAACAACAACAACACCAACAACATCACCAACAACAACAACACCAACAACAACACCAACAACAACAACTCCAACAACAACAACACCAACATCAACACCAACAACACCAACATCAACAACACCAACAACACCAACAACAACAACACCAACATCAACAACAACAACACCAACAACAACAACACCAACACCAACAACAATAACACCTGAACAACAACAACAACACCAACAACACCAACAACAACAACACCAACAACACCAACACCAACAACATCACCAACAACAACAACACCAACATCAACACCAAAAACACCAACAACAACAACACCAACAACAACACCAACAACACCAACAACACCAACATCAACAACACCAACAACACCAACAACAACAACACCAACACCAACAACAACAACAACACCAACAACAACATCACCAACAACAACAACAACACCAACAACAACACCAACATCAACACCAACAACACCAACATCAACAACACCAACAACACCAACAACACCAACAACAACAACACCAACATCAACAACAACAACACCAACAACAACACCACCACCACCACCACCGCTGCTGCTGCAATAAATTGGCCTTGGTGGCCCACGTGACCACTTCGTTGGTTGTCTTTGTCGGGTGGAGAAGGGCCGTGACGACACACAGTGGCGTACACGAGGGGAGACAAAGGCGGCCGCGCGCGGTTTCTGTCGGCGCCGGCCTTCATGGGTGCGACTCGCTCGCAGCACTTGACCCAACAGTCTGTCGAGGCTACACGGGCAGGGGGGGATCTTTGTCTTTGTAAGAGTGGGGGGGAGCGGTGGTGCAGCGGTTAGCGCTACGCTGCGCTATGAACTTAGCGAACCGGGTTCGATTCTCGCTCACGGCCAACACCCAGTGACGATTATTTGAACCGGTCCTGGGCCTCGCCTAGGTCGACTCAGCCTCAACATGAGTACCTTGTGCGGTGCGTCAACATCGCCACTGGGGAGACAAAGGCGGCCGGGCGTGGCGCTGGCTACCCACCCCCTCATAGGTGCTACTCGCTAACGGCACTTGCCCCTACAGTCTGTTAGGGGTATACGGGGGATCTTTGTCTTTGTGTAACGTGTGTGTGTGGGTGGTGAGCATGGTTTGTGTCTGGTGACACGTGAGTGGGTTGTGGGTTGGGGTCAAGCCACCACCTCGTCACAAACACGTGGCCTCATACCTCACTCACTCACTCACCCCTTGATCCTCACACTCACCCCTCTCCACCACTCACCCCTCTAATCATCACCCTCACTTCTTCGCTCTCTCTCTCTCTCTTTTTGACGATGAGAGAGAACAAGATGATGCTGGGTGTAGTCGGCACTTTGCTTCGTTCATCATTTCGGGTTTTTTGTTTTTCAATGCTTTGCTTTATGTGCCCCCCCCCCCCCCCCCCTGTTTAAACGAAATATTTCACGAAATATTTCACGCTCTGCCATCTCCCTCTCTCTCACAGATGGAGCAGGTGGAGGAACTCGCGTTTGCTGTTGCGCCTCCTCCACGCGTCTCTTCCTCGACATCCACAGGAATGCGCCTATCACATCATCACCACCACCACCATCACCACCACCATCACCACCACCATCCCCACCACCATCACCATCATCATCACCACCACCACCATCACCACCACCATCACCACCACCACCATCACCACCACCACCATCACCACCACCATCCCCACCACCATCACCATCATCATCATCACCACCACCATCACCACCACCATCACCACCACCATCACCATCACCACCACAACCACCACCACCACCATCACCACCACCATCACCACCACCACCATCACCACCACCACCACCATCACCACCACCATCACCACCACCACCATCATCACCACCACCACCATCACCACTACCATCACCACCACCACCACCTTCTGTGCGTGATCCACCAACACTCGCTACTGCCTCAACAGCACCGGGTCGCATTCGTTCATCCCGGGTATTCATCGCAGGTGTTTATAGCGGGTGACATAGCGGGTGACATAGCAGGTGACATAGCAGGTGTTCACATTCTTTGGTTCTTTCGGTAAAGTGACGTAGACAGAAAAATTAGAATAAAAAATTAAGTGAATAAAAATAATAAAAAAATAAATAAATGATACAAATTTTTTTTCTTATTTTCCTACCTATCTATATACGTGACTTTTCCGAAAGAACCAAAGAATATGAACACCTGCAGTCACGAAAGTTTTAAGTCGAGACCTCGCAGATGTTCATGGTAGGTGTTTATCACTGCAGGTGTTCATGGTAGGTGTGTATCACTGCGGGTGTTCATGGTAGGTGTGTATCACTGCAGGTGTTCATGGTAGGTGTGTATCACTGCAGGTGTTCATGGTAGGTGTGTATCACTGCAGGTGTTCATGGTAGGTGTGTATCACTGCAGGTGTTCATGGTAGGTGTGTATCACTGCAGGTGTTCATGGTAGGTGTGTATCACTGCAGGTGTTCATGGTAGGTGTGTATCACTGCAGGTGTTCATGGTAGGTGTGTATCACTGCAGATGTTCATGGTAGGTGTGTATCACTGCAGGTGTTCATGGTAGGTGTGTATCACTGCAGGTGTTCATGGTAGGTGTGTATCACTGCAGATGTTCATCGTAGGTGTGTATCACTGCAGATGTTCATCGTAGGTGTGTATCACTGCAGGTGTTCATGGAAGGTGTGTATCACTGCAGGTGTTCATGGTAGGTGTGTATCACTGGAGATGTTCATGGTCGGTGTGTATCACTGCAGGTGTTCATGGTAGGTGTGTATCACTGCAGGTGTTCATGGTAGGTGTGTATCACTGCAGGTGTTCATGGTAGGTGTGTATCACTGCAGGTGTTCATGGTAGGTGTGTATCACTGCAGGCGTTCATGGTAGGTGTGTATCACTGCAGATGTTCATGGTAGGTGTGTATCACTGCAGGCGTTCATGGTAGGTGTGTATCACTGCAGGTGTTCATGGTAGGTGTGTATCACTGCAGGTGTTCATGGAAGGTGTGTATCACTGCAGGTGTTCATGGTAGGTGTGTATCACTGGAGATGTTCATGGTCGGTGTGTATCACTGCAGGTGTTCATGGTAGGTGTGTATCACTGCAGGTGTTCATGGTAGGTGTGTATCACTGCAGGTGTTCATGGTAGGTGTGTATCACTGCAGGTGTTCATGGTAGGTGTGTATCACTGCAGGTGTTCATGGTAGGTGTGTATCACTGCAGGTGTTCATGGTAGGTGTGTATCACTGCAGGTATTCATGGTAGGTGTGTATCACTGCAGGTGTTCATGGTAGGTGTGTATCACTGCAGGTGTTCCTGGTAGGTGTGTATCACTGCAGATGTTCATGGTAGGTGTGTATCACTGCAGGTGTTCATGGTAGGTGTGTATCACTGCAGGCGTTCATGGTAGGTGTGTATCACTGCAGGTGTTCATGGTAGGTGTGTATCACTGCAGGTGTTCATGGTAGGTGTGTATCACTGCAGGTGTTCATGGTAGGTGTGTATCACTGCAGGTGTTCATGGTAGGTGTGTATCACTGCAGGTGTTCATGGTAGGTGTGTATCACTGCAGGTGTTCATGGTAGGTGTGTATCACTGCAGCTGTTCATGGTAGGTGTGTATCACTGCATGTGTTCATGGAAGGTGTGTATCACTGCAGGTGTTCATGGTAGGTGTGTATCACTGCAGGTGTTCATGGTAGGTGTGTATCACTGCAGATGTTCATGGAAGGTGTGTATCACTGCAGGTGTTCATGGCAGGTGTGTATCACTGCAGGTGTTCATGGTAGGTGTGTATCACTGCAGGTGTTCATGGTAGGTGTGTATCACTGCAGGTGTTCACGGTAGGTGTGTATCACTGCAGGTGTTCATGGTAGGTGTGTATCACTGCAGGTGTTCATGGTAGGTGTGTGTCACTGCAGGTGTTCATGGTAAGTGTGTATCACTGCAGGTGTTCACGGTAGGTGTGTATCACTGCAGGTGTTCATGGTAAGTGTGTATCACTGCAGGTGTTCATGGTAGGTGTGTATCACTGCAGGTGTTCATGGTAGGTGTGTATCACTGCAGGTATTCATAGTAGGTGTGTATCACTGCAGGTGTTCATGGTAGGTGTGTATCACTGCAGGTGTTCATGGAAGGTGTGTATCACTGCAGGTGTTCATGGTAGGTGTGTATCACTGCAGATGTTCATGGTAGGTGTGTATCACTGCAGGTGTTCATGGTAGGTGTGTATCACTGCAGGTGTTCATGGAAGGTGTGTATCACTGCAGGTGTTCATGGTAGGTGTGTATCACTGCAGGTGTTCATGGTAGGTGTGTATCACTGCAGGTATTCATAGTAGGTGTGTATCACTGCAGGTGTTCATGGTAGGTGTGTATCACTGCAGGTGTTCATGGAAGGTGTGTATCACTGCAGGTGTTCATGGTAGGTGTGTATCACTGCAGGTGTTCATGGAAGGTGTGTATCACTGCAGGTGTTCATGGTAGGTGTGTATCACTGCAGATGTTCATGGTAGGTGTGTATCACTGCAGGTGTTCATGGTAGGTGTGTATCACTGCAGGCGTTCATGGTAGGTGTGTATCACTGCAGATGTTCATGGTAGGTGTGTATCACTGCAGGCGTTCATGGTAGGTGTGTATCACTGCAGGTGTTCATGGTAGGTGTGTATCACTGCAGGTGTTCATGGAAGGTGTGTATCACTGCAGGTGTTCATGGTAGGTGTGTATCACTGGAGATGTTCATGGTCGGTGTGTATCACTGCAGGTGTTCATGGTAGGTGTGTATCACTGCAGGTGTTCATGGTAGGTGTGTATCACTGCAGGTGTTCATGGTAGGTGTGTATCACTGCAGGTGTTCATGGTAGGTGTGTATCACTGCAGGTGTTCATGGTAGGTGTGTATCACTGCAGGTGTTCATGGTAGGTGTGTATCACTGCAGGTATTCATGGTAGGTGTGTATCACTGCAGGTGTTCATGGAAGGTGTGTATCACTGCAGGTGTTCATGGTAGGTGTGTATCACTGGAGATGTTCATGGTCGGTGTGTATCACTGCAGGTGTTCATGGTAGGTGTGTATCACTGCAGGTGTTCATGGTAGGTGTGTATCACTGCAGATGTTCATGGAAGGTGTGTATCACTGCAGATGTTCATGGCAGGTGTGTATCACTGCAGGTGTTCATGGTAGGTGTGTATCCCTGCAGGTGTTCATGGTAGGTGTGTATCACTGCAGGTGTTCACGGTAGGTGTGTATCACTGCAGGTGTTCATGGTAGGTGTGTATCACTGCAGGTGTTCATGGTAGGTGTGTGTCACTGCAGGTGTTCATGGTAAGTGTGTATCACTGCAGGTGTTCACGGTAGGTGTGTATCACTGCAGGTGTTCATGGTAAGTGTGTATCACTGCAGGTGTTCATGGTAGGTGTGTATCACTGCAGGTGTTCATGGTAGGTGTGTATCACTGCAGGTATTCATAGTAGGTGTGTATCACTGCAGGTGTTCATGGTAGGTGTGTATCACTGCAGGTGTTCATGTAAGG